CTGCTGTCACTGCGGCGTGTGCTGAGAGCGAGCGCTCACAGCAGGAGCCGCGCTGTGCCTCCTGATGTGCTCGGTGCAACCACTGCAGATTCACAGCCCAGCCCCTGAGGAGTGTGCTAACTTCATGTCCCTTCATTCAAAGCTATTTTTACAGTCCTTTGCCTCATTCTGTGACTGGGTTGATTTTTTTTCTCCCTTGGGTCATCTTGATCTAATTATTCTCCAGGAAATGAGAGCCAATAAAAGAAAGCCTTTTGCTATGAGTACACGTGTATTTTAAAATGTAGATATTAAATATGTTCCCCAAGCAGAAATAAAAACCAGTCCAGCTTATGCAACCAATACCACAATTGGAGTGGCCGTTTCCACCCTTAAATGTACTGATGGTGTTTAAATTATACTTGCCACAGGAACACTAGCATAAAAAGTACCTAATAACGAGAGTGGGGAAAAAAGGAAAGGCTACTAAGGTAAGCTCGTATTTTCTGGTAACTATCCTCACCTGGGAAATTGTGTTGGTATAACCTGTCAGTATGGATTGCAATCTCAAATTCAACAGTTCTCCGTACAAACTCCGCAGCGGAGTTTCAGTAACGCTACTCTTCTCACTAACTTCACATGGGGGCAGCAAGGCATTGCTTTAGCAGCGGGAAATGCAGTTTTGCCTAAGAAGTGATTTTGCTGGGATAAATGGACGAGATGCAGGGATTTCAACTCCAAGGTAATTTGTTTCTAAGTTAAAAAACCTGCAAGCAATAAAACAAACTGTTTTTAAACTAACTAACCCCCTGCATGATCAGAATGATTTCCTTTATTTTATGTTATCAGGAAGTGGAATCTCTGCTCTTGAAGTGTACAGAAAGCAATAAAAATTCATCTCTTGTGGTAAGCATGGCCTGACTTTTACATGCCAAGTCATCTAAACAATAGTACCATGAGGATGAGTTCTAGCTGAAGACTTCAGGGTATGTTAAATTTACGATTCTGATTTGCAGTGTTGTGGACACAACAGTAGAGCCAAAGTAATTCCAGAATCCAGATTTTCAAGATTCCTGGTAAGGTTGCAAAATTGTTTGACAGTAATGATGTAACAGGAGGTATGTGAGCTAAATAAAATAGGACAGTGCATATATATGCCTGTTTGGCATCCAGGGCTGGGCAGTGGAAAGCAGATAATCTCACTTTTGCCCAAGTGACAAGGCTATCAAGAATGAAATGAGAAATTCCAAAGGGGAAAAAAATCCTCTGCCATCTAAACTTTATCACCAATGGGTCAAAAAGAAAAGAGAACAGGAGTTGCTGCCAGTTTTGTGTTCTCTGTTAACATCAAGGGAATGTGACAAGCTACAACAGTATGGGTTGAAAATACGATAGGGAAAACAAAACATCCCTAACAGTGAGAGTCACTTATACACCCACAGAAGCTCACAGCAGCTTGGAGAGTCGTGTCACAGGGTTTTTCTTTTCCTGGCCCTAGGAGAGACTCCAACCAAAACAGACAGAGATACAGAATAAGGTGAGAGGTCTGTGTTCTTGTATTATCTTGGAGAATTTGTAGGATAGACACCCAAAAGGGAAGATAGCTACTGTTGTTTCTTACTTATTGTTACAGTTTCCACTAATTTATCCTTTCTCTTCTTTCCTTCCGGTCCAGCGTGTGCTGGCACAGCCAGCCCTGACAGATGTTTATGGTACCTTGCTGTGAATGGCTCAGCAGCTGACTCAAGGTGGGGTGTCCCCATTTTTCCCTCTCTTGAACTGGGAGCTGTTCAGAAGGAGAGATGTGCTTTTGTATTATCTCTATTTTCATGCCTTTCTTATTTCTGTTGTCTTTTTAGGTAGGAGCTGTTGTATTTGTGAAGAACCTTAGCACATAAGGCATGCCAGCCCTAGGAAAGCAAAGCACCGTGCTCTGAAAGCATAGAAATACTTTTGAAAAATTTCCATCTGGAGAGAGACTGTAATAGAAAATAGACTGTAATAGAAAAACAGCAAAAATGCCCTTGTTACAATAAGAAGAATGCCTGTCAATGAAGTGACTGAATGAATTTACAAGGTAAGAAGATACTGGTCTTAGAGAGCCACTTAAACATATGGTTGCCATTATCCCACAGCAGCTCTGCCTTCAAGAATCAGCATCCAGGTTGGGCAGCAGCACAGGCAGCTGTGCCACAGCTCTGTGCCCAGACAGACAGGAGTGCAGGTACTGCTCCCACACAGCTGGTGCCACAGCTGGATGCTGGGTCCTACAGATGCTGTAATGTGCTGTAGATGGACTCAGCCCCTACACTGCTGCACAGGCTGTTTGCAGCTCAGAGTGTTAAAAATTATGTGGAAAATGCACTTCACCTGTTTCTGACAACTAGCACAAGTGCTTTTATTATCCCTAAGAGAGACAATTTTTCAGGACTAGCAGAATAGCAGGTGAGTTCTTCAAATTCCCAAAATAAAACATTGTATTGACCATGCATTTGGCTGGAAAATGACAAAGAACATTTCTACTGACTCTAAGGCCTCAGAAAACTATACCTGGTAGTAGTAGTAGTAAAAATTCAGAGACTTGTAGAAAAAAAATAAAAGAAAGTTTAAGCATATAATAGAGATTTGTAGACTATGTGATCTGAATACATGTAGGCTTTAAAAAAAACTTTTCCCACTCCACCATCTATATGTTATTTCAATTATATCTAAAAGCTGCACTATGCTGAGTTTGATGGGATGTGATGTGTTTGGTGTCCTACAAAATCTGGGACGGGTTTATTTTATGTTGAAATAGATTGAACTAATATAATGAGATTGCTTGACTCGGGAAAGCAAGTGAAAAAGTTTGCTATATTTATGTGTTTCCACTTAATCTGGTTCTGGATTTTTGTGTGCTTTTAAATTTAAATCATAGGGATATTACCTGATGAGCTTGTAAAGACAGTGAAAAAAACCCACCCCAAATGCCACTAATTAGTCTATTGCTAAATAGGATCTAAAGCATTTTGCAAAGTGCCAAATGTTTTAAGTTTCACAAAAGCCTAATGAGGTACACTATTATCTCTGCTGTTATCTAGGCAAGTTGAGACAAATCCTGAGCTTGAATATATAAAGTACCTGTTACAGATAATCTCTGCAGGGGATCTGGTGCTGGTATTTTGTTATGATCAAGACTCCTAACTTGGAGTACAGATTAGATTAGATAGTCTGATTTTAACCTCTCTTCTCATAGTCTGGTTTTGCTATTGAAAGAGAACCACCTTACTGAGTATCAGTGAACTATCAAGTCAAAGGATGGGGCTGGGAAAGTATTTTGCCTGCCACGTATAAAAGAATCAAGAAGCTGCTTTTCTTATTATGAAAACGTGTGTATAACCCAGATTTAAGGAAAATGATCTCTCAGGAAGACCTCTGTGAATGTAGGCATTTAACAGCTGCTGTGCTGTCACTTGCGGCTGCCAGACATCCAAAGACAGGTCACTGGCGGGAGCTCATGGTTCCAATTCCTTTCCCAGTCAGTAATTCCCTGCCCTCCCCGTGCCCCATCATTGATGGGGGTGTCTTGAGCCATGGATGCTGTGTGGGGCATGGGCTGAGTCTGAAATCTGAGTAATCTGTCACTGGCCAGGACTGTCTGTGGTGAGCTCCTCGTGCTGGAGATGACAGCTCTGGGGAGCTGCTACTCAGATTTGAGATGGAGCTCAAAACCCCATCAGTTTCACTGCAAGTTTCTTCTCGTTCACCCAGCTGGACTGATTGAGTGATGTAAAACCTGTAGCACTGCAGCCCCATTTCCATCTTGATAAGTGCAAACTTTTCCAAAGGTTAGCTGCTCCGGGTTACTATCCTCTCTGAGGTAGGTAAGGCGTGAGGTGCGTGGGAAACATCTCTGCACTCTGCCCTTGCAGCAGCACAGCTCCGGCCATGAGCTGAGCTGCAGAAGGGCCAGGCCTGGGAAAGACCTCACTGGGAGCAGCAGTGAAGCTGAGTGGGCAGAATGCATTTACCTGGTCCCTAATTTGACCAGAATCCGGCGCTCCAGACCAGCAGTTCAGCGAAAGCTCGTAGCTGTAAAAGACAGGGTGAAATGGGATCAAAAGAGGGAATGAATATGAAGGAAGAAGGACAATAACGAAATTGAAGAAGAAAAGCTTGGAGGAATGAGAGAAATACGTAACACTTTGAAGTCATCTTCCTCCCAGTGAAATGCCTTTACAGCGGCATTTAAAACCAGTGCCACTTATCAGAGCTCCCCTGTTTGTGTCCTTTTATTAAAACAAGTATTTTTCTTACTTGGTGCAATGCACTGGGTCAGAGTTGTGGTTGGTGTCACGACAGCTGTCTCACAGGGAACGGGAAACCACAGACCTTCTTGACACTTCAGCAGCGGAAGGTGCGCATCCTTGAGCCCGGCCTCCACTGACTTTTAAGAAGTCGTGAGGCAAACGCCCGGCACTGGGTGGGGGTGGCTGTGGGTGGCGGTGCCCGGAGTGCGGACGGGAGGGACCCGCACTCCCGGGAGCGGCGCGCCCCCGGCCCGCGCGCTGGTGCCGCCCCGTCGGGCGGGGCGGGGCGGGCGCATGCGCACCGGGCCGCCCCCACCGCCTATAAGAGCGGGCGCGGCGCCCCCCGCGCCCAGCGGCGGAGCGGGCGCGGCGCCGGACGGGGCGCACCGGGAGCGGCGCGGGCTGGGCTGGGCGCGCCCGACCCGCTCTGTCCGTGGGAGGATCGCGGGCTCCCGCCGTCCCTCGCCCATGGGCGCGGAGGAGGGTGCGGGCCGGGTTGGCGCGGCGAGGCGGCGAGGAGCGAGAGCGGAGTAGCGGCGGGACCCGCTCCCCCGGTGCGCCCCGGGCGGCGGCTCCGCACCCCGCGGGCCGGCCCCGGGCATGCGGCGGCGGCGGCGGCGGGACCCGCGGCCAGAGTCCCCGCAGCGCGGCGGCTGCCTGCCCCGGGGGGCCGGGCGGCGCTGCCCCGGCGCGGGGGGGCCCTGACGGAGCGGCCGCCCCCCCGGCGGCGCCATGCGGGGCTGGCTGCTGCTGGCGGCGCTGGGCTGGCTGCTGCCGGCGGGGGCCGCGGCCAGCGGCGAGTACTGCCACGGCTGGCTGGACGGGCAGGGCGGCTGGCGGGACGGCTTCCAGTGCCCCGAGCGCTTCGACGGCGGCGACGCCACCATCTGCTGCGGCAGCTGCGCCCTCCGGTACTGCTGCTCCAGCGCCGAGGCGCGCCTGGACCAGGGCGCCTGCGACAACGACCGGCGGCAGGGCGGCGGCGAGCCCGGCCGCCCCGGGATGGATGGCCCCGGGGGTGTCTCCGGCACGGCGGCTCTACGGGAGCCGTCGCGGGTTTGCGGCGATCTTCTTGCCCGCCGGTTCCCCCCCTCCGTCGAGTCGTGGGGCAGGACGGATGGAGACGGCGCTGGCCGGGCCGCTCTTCCACGAGGAGAAGTGCCCAGGCTGAAAGCCTGCCTTTCCCGCCCTTACTGCTGGAAATCCCAGCCACGGCTCTGTCAGAGCAGGTGACACCGCTCCCCTGAGTCCCGGGCCAGCCGTCTCGGCCTGGCACAGCTCTGCCGCCGCTTTGAACGGGCTACTCAGCCATGGTTGAGTTCCCCATTGAAAAGGCAAGGAAAAATGAGACAACCCGTATGAGCAGATCAGAAAAAGTAACAGGAGATTTCAAAAGGACTCTGGCTGGTCCCCACAGTAATTGTGTATGTTCTTTCAGCTCTGATATCCCCACTTAGGACTGGTTTTACAAGATTGAATTTCAAGGATAAACTCAAGTCTTTCTACTGCTGTTTAAAAAAGCCCCGGTGGCTCCCCTTGCTGCCATCCACACATGCTGAGTGCGGGAGAAGTAGCCTGAAGTGATGTTATAATTAGGACAGGTTTACTCCTGGAAAACTTGCACATTACAGCGTGGAGCAAGTGTGTGCACCTGCTCAAGAGCTGCTGTAGCGCCAAGCGCAAAAGTGGAGACAGTGTTTTACAGCCTTTTGTTTGAAAGTACTAAAATGATGGAAGAAAAGTGGCCTTTTGGTTATAACTCGCCTCATGTAATCAGCTGTGCCAGGAAGTATTCTGACTTGAGCAGACAGATAACCCCCCTTTGCAGTTCTGAGAACAATGCATTTTTTAAACAATTATTTTTTTTTTATTTAAAATTTATTGCTTTGCAGGTTTGGGAGCCATTGCCCTGTGCTGGCACTGATTAACTTGCAGGTCATTAGCAGTGGCTGCCTTACCAGGGTCAGACAGGGTCAAGCAGGGATCCGTAGCCCTGCCTGAGTCTTGGAGCTGCCAGGTTTTGGTGGAAATGATGAACTCCAGGCATGTTGCTGGGAGCATTCACAAGCACTGAAGGGAGACACCTTCCCTTTGTTATTTGTGGATATATCCATGCAGATTTCTTACTGAGGCAGAGAATAACGCTTTTTCCCTGGGACTGCAGAATGGATTAGATCAGTTGAATAGAGCATGGCACTTGTAACACTGTTGTGGGTCTGATCCCTGTATGGGCCATTCACTTAAGAGCTGGACTCGATGATTTTTGTGGGTCCTTTCTAACTCAGGTGTATTCTGTGAAATCTGTATGTGTAGCCCAGATTCTTCCAGGGATAGTTTGCCATCCTTGGTGGCTCCTGATGCAACCAATGAGCATCATCCATACTTCCTGCTCCCACCCCTTGCTCACCCTCAGTCTTCCTGCCCTGATGTCCCCTTATTAGGCCTCTCAAGAAGGAATGCTGCCCCATTGGAGCATAGTGCTGTCTCTGCACTGCCTACTCTGTGGTTTCTCCCTAAACTCAGGGCTGAAGTGCAGGGCAGGTGGACACTCATCCCCAGGGCTGTGTGGTGTCAGAGCCTCTGGGACTACTGTCTGGTCACTGCCTGGCTGTCACACTGCCTCAGCGGGCTGACAATAGCCAGAGTGGGCTGGTGGTGATGGAGAGGGATGTCATGTGGCACCAGGGTTTGACTACCCTGTGATCCTGAGCCTTTCGCAGGGATCCTGCCCCGAAGTATTTCCCTAAGGCACTGTTCAAGCCCAGCTGTATCTTGCCTGATTGTTCTAGTAGGGGATATTGGAGACACGATTTGATGAAATGTGGAGCAGTGATTACTGTGAACTAGACCACCATCAACGGGGAAATTTAAGCCATTTGATTTAGCAGCCCTTTTCATCATTCTGGTATAAAAAACACTGCTTGTATTGACCTGTGCTGGGAGGAGGTGGGCTCTGCTTGGATAAGGGGGGTACTTCTGCTGGACCTGCCGAGGTTTGTCCTTGGCCCCCAGTGACAATGTTTTCCTTGCTGTTGCAGTGCCCATCTACGTGCCGTTCCTTATCGTGGGATCTGTGTTTGTCGCCTTCATCATCTTGGGGTCACTGGTGGCAGCTTGCTGCTGCAGATGCCTGCGGCCCAAGCAGGAGCCCCAGCAGAGTCGAGCCCCTGCGGGCACCCGCCTGATGGAGACGATCCCCATGATCCCAAGTGCCAGCACCTCCCGGGGCTCCTCCTCCCGCCAGTCGAGCACGGCTGCCAGCTCCAGCTCCAGCGCCAACTCGGGGGCCAGAGCTCCGCCAACGAGGTCCCAGACCAACTGCTGCTTGTCAGAAGGGACCATGAATAATGTCTATGTCAACATGCCCACGAACTTCTCGGTGCTGAACTGCCAGCAGGCCACGCAGATCGTGCCGCACCAGGGCCAGTACCTGCACCCGCAGTACGTGGGCTACGCCGTGCAGCACGACTCGATGCCGCTGACCCCGGTGCCCCCCTTCCTGGACGGCCTGCAGAGCGGCTACAGGCAGATCCAGTCCCCCTTCCCACACACCAACAGCGAGCAGAAGATGTACCCGGCTGTGACTGTGTAGCGCTGACGCCTTCCCCTCCCCATCCCCACCCGGCCGCTTTTAATATCTGAACTGAACGGAGGAGAAATACTTCCTTGGAACAAAGCTCCCAGAACACCACTTGTAAATAATTTTGAAAGGCTCATGCATGTCAGACAGTGTTTATAAACCATTTATTTTCGTCGGGGTCTGTTGCCAGGAACTGTAAGGATGATATCTCGGAATTAACGTTGCCAGATACGCTCTCATTCCAGCGCGTGATTTATGGCGGCGAAGGATTATGTTGGAAATGCATATGTATTTCAGATCACTGTACTCATGAGATAAATGTCAGAGCCGTTAAGTGCCCTTCAGGTATGACATGGTCACAAGTATTTGCCTAATTAATTCTAGAAAGAGTTTTGTTACACTGTACAAGACCGTAGTACTTCAGAAACCTCTCCGCTCCCAGCTCCATAATGACATTTCCCGTTGCTTTACAGACAATCAGAACTGAGAGCCGAACAGTGCAATCCCTGTGTGCCAGGAGCTCCCATGGCTTCTTACACACGAGCTTTGGGGTGAAATGCCACCAGAGGCTTGGTCTTGCAAAGACCAATTTTCTTTGTATTATGTAGGAATTAGAAGAGTGAATTATTCTGCTCTTCTTTCTGGTGCACTTGAAACCTTCTTGATTTGGTTTTGTACCAAGATCAGGACCCAGTGGTGTTTTGCAGAGACTATCTTTGTGAACGTTTTACTAAAACCAGGGTACGAGGTGCTTGCTCTTCATGACACTCAGCAAAGCTTTTGGTACAGCTGACAGTGTCTGAACTGAACCTGCCTTGGCAAAGGTCAGACTGTGATTCCAAACATGCCTGATTTAACCTCACTTCCCATAAAACAGGAAATCCATGTGAATGCCCACGAAGGTGTCAGCCCCAAAGCCTGCTTGCATTGGATTCTGCCTGTAGGAAAATGGACTTTATCTTGTTCCCCACGAACCCATTCCGAGTCCCCTGCCCTACCCCGTGGGAGTGGGAGAGTGTTACATAGAACCCAGCTGGGATGTGAGTGGGTTGGTGGAGGTTTGAAATCCATCCTCTTTTCTTCTTTACCCATGTGGCAGGGGACTAGGGAGGCACAGCTGTATTTAGAAATAAGGAGAAAGGCCCAGCTAGAGGAGAAAGGTGCTTGTGGTGTCACAGGGCTCATGGAGGTGGTGAGAGGCAGACAAGAGGGACGCTACACTGGAGCTGTTGGCTTCGTCCTGCTTTGCTTCATCTGGGGAAGACACCTCTCCATGTTGAAGAAGCAACAAACAATCAGATCATTCTAATTACATCACCCCAAATGCAGCAAACGAAGGCTGGTTTTGTCTCTTAAAAAAATGTAGCCTCTGCATTTGCATCCATTTGCTCCTCAGCCAAAACAGTGCAACAGAAGACTTGAGGCCCTGTGCAGTCCAAGCAATTACCATAACCAGACCAGTGATGGCAAAATGTTTCTTTCTCTCCGATACTGTATCAATATGTAGCAATAACAGTGATGCTGTGTTTTGTATGTCTGTTTTTAAATGACACAGAAGGTGCAGACGCATTGCCAAACCCAATGGTTTACTCATAAACACGCCACACACGCAGTCTGCAGCAGGCAGCCATGGTTTGGCCACTGACACGGAGAAATGAATAGGTAATTTATCCCAGGTGTGTTGTTCCTGGCTGGGATCGCCCAGTCCGTGTGCAGGAGCTGGACAGAAAGATCGGCTTGTGAGACTGGGCATCCTCTGCCGCCAGGCTGGGTGTCTTTGGGAAGGCAGCGCCCGGCTGCTGGAGGTGTCGGCTGCTGCACAGCTCGGTGCTCGGGGATCTTCAGGGCTGGGTGCTGCCCGCCTTCTGAAGGACTCCCTGCACTCTCTGGTCTCTGGGGGGGAGGTTTCTACCTGCCCACGTTGCAGCGGGGTCACACTGAGCTGGCACCGGGCACGGGGGCAGCTGCCTGTGCTTCCCCAGGAGCAGGAGGTGCTTGGTCCTGGGTGAGCCCTGGCCAAGGCTCATGGCCAGACAAGCAGCTCCTCCTGTGGTCCTGACCCTGTGCCCAGCTGTGAACCAAGTCAGCTCCCCCCCACTGCCTGCCTTGCACAGGACCTGGCAAGGAAACCTCCTCTGACCTACGAAATTCAGGTGAATCTTTGTATATTGTTTACTTGTTAAAAAAAAAAAAAAAAAAAAAAAGAATAAGTTAAATTTAAGTCTGTAGAAATGAATTTACAACTGAAGGCAGAGAAACCCGAGTTCTAATAAAAGGAATTTTGTGAGATGTGGTGTTTTTTTAAATGTCATGTACAATAATGTAAAACCAATGTTACCATTTGATAGAGCTTTTAAATCTCTGAAAGAGCACTTGCTTTAAAGTGTTTCTTACAACTGACGAAAAAAGCCCCCTTTGTTTCTTAATAAATACTTTATTGTGTGACTTTGGTTTTGTTTGCTTTGTCATAGGGTTTTTATTTTTTCATTTAATGCTTTTGCTTTCCTATGTCTACAAAAGAACATCTGACCAGCCCACCTCTCCAGACTGGCAAAACCAAAAGTTTGAACTTTTTTGCTGTGTTTTTAGAGAATAACAGTAAACCCAATGACTTACTTGGCTGAGCAGCGTGCTCCAGTGGGGCATGTTCTGAGGAGATGTGTTTGGAAAGATGAGACACAGGGAGATGGCATCTGAGCATCAGCTGAGATGGGGATCCCTCACCTCTTGGGTGGCTGGGGAGCAGTGGTGGGAGCAGGATGGACCAGAGCCTGTGGACTCATCAAGCTCCCTCTTTTCAAAGAATGCCAAATACTCAGCAGCAAATAGCATTTTCTGTGGATTTTGGTTTCAGTTGGATTCACGGTTACCAGCTGAGCATTTTGAGTGTATAACTCTCAGTAAGTGGCTGTGCTGTTCCCACTGTCCTCTGCATGGAGACCCTTCTTGCTAGAGCAAACTCCATCCTCATAAGTGAGACCAAAACCAAAACCCCATTGTGACAGGGAGCATAGCTCAGTCTGGGATGAGACCACTCTGCTTTCCTGGTGTTTGCTCCCTCCTGCTGCTTGTGATGCTGGTATTGCACTGTGTGGGCAGGTGGGTGGCTGGAGGAGCCAAAAGGGCACGGAAAAGAAATTGGGTGACTGTTGGATCTGCATGTTTATGACTCAAAGAAGTAGGAAAGAACAGTCTGGGAAAAACATCACCTTGGTCAGGCCCTACATAGCACATTCCAAAATGCCACAGCTTCCTGGTGTTCAGGGAAGGTGAGGTAGCATGGCTGGAAGCAGGAAGCTGGCAGGGAAGGAGGGGATCAGCCGTGGCTCAGAGCAGATGTGCTGAGGTGACGAGTGCTGCACAGTAGGGGAGGCCAACAATTTGTGTTAAAGCTTTTTCTTGTATTTTTACCTGGGTGCCACGGTCAATAGGGGACAGTGGAGGTTGGTGCAATTCAGAGCCAGTGCTCACATGTGGCCCACGACGCCCAAGGAGAGCAAGCCAGGGAGCAGCACATTAACCTCAGCACCTCCCTTGCAAAACATCTCATTTGCTGCTCACTTTTGGTCTTGCTGGAGCTGTTTTTCTCCCTCCAGGTTTTCTGCTTTTCCACTCTTTTCCTCCCGCTGAAGTTATTACTAAATATTATTCCCCACATGTATTCCCTTCTGTTTTTCCAAGCTGAATCTCATTTTATTGTTTCCTCTTCATATTTCCTGCTTCTCAGTAGGTCTCTTTGTAATATTTCTCTGTCCTCAGTGGGGCTTGCAACATTTTCCTGCCTAGGATCACTTGCAAACGGACTGAACAAATCACATAAACCTGTGCCATCCTTTCTCCCCTTCCCACTTCTTCCCCATCTACACTGAGTGGAGACAGTTTCATGAGACCCTGGCCACCCTGGAGGCTCACAGTGTCCCCTGTCCCATTAGAGAGCATTTAATCCTTGTGACAGTATTTCTGTGCAGCTTGAATGGCCAGATAACAGTGGTCACTGGTGCTGTAACAGCTTCCTGTGCCTCAGCAATGAGGATATGTCCACCGTGCTGGGCCATGTGCCACAAAATACCAGTGTGGGCTCCTGTGAGAAAGCCTCAGGTGAGCCAACACTGTGGTGTGGCTGCTCTGCACCAAACACTATACAGTGCTGGCCTGTCTGCAGCAAGCCCTGGAGGTGAGGCTGGCACAGGTGATGCCTTGTCTCAGCACCCTTGGGTGTGCCAGTGCCCCCATTTCCTGGAGGACACCCAGTCCCAGACACTGCTTCCTTGCCCCCATCCCTGGGAAGCCACTACAGCCCTGGCACAGGGATGGATTTTCTCCCCCTCCTGCAGAGATTCCCCCTTCCTGTGCCAACACTTACTGGTTTTGTGATTTGCCCACAGAAATGCTGTCCTAATTGCTTGGCTTAATTTGTCCTTTGTACCTGGAAATCTCAGCTCACTGACCTGATCCTAGGCCTTTTTCACTTGGCTTATGACCCTGCTCCTCCCACCTTCTCCAGCTTCTCCACGCTGGGTTGTTTACAATGTTTTCCCTGGCCCTCGTGTCATTTCCATCTCCTGCTTGTCCCTGTTGAACCAGATCTCTCGTGGGGGCAGCTATGCTGGATGGAACATCTGGGGCATCTGGTTCATGAGTAGAGGCACAGCTTCATTTGGAAAACACCTTCCCACTTAACATCAAAGGTGACATCATCCAAATACTGAGAGCAAGGCAGCAAACATTCCACTAGGCATGGCTGAAAAGTTGCTAGGTGTGCAAGAGGCTGAGTATCCTCTTACTCCCTGATTTTCATTAGAAGAGGGGAGACAAACCTCTGTGGAGTGTAACATGAGTCACAGCTCTCAGATTGCTGAGAAGTGCCTCCAGCATTGTACTGGCTGCTGTTTTTGCCAAAAAAAAGTGAGTTGACTTTATTTTTAATATTAATCAATTTTGGTGGCTAATTCTGATGAGATGGAACCATGCAGGTAACAACTCAAAGCAGTCATTTCCTGCACTGGGCAAGGCCCAGTGGGCACATCCAGCTCCCCAAGGACACATGTGGCTTTGCATTGTCCATAACACATCAGGAAATATAAAAGAAAACTCACCTGAAACCTTGAAATCTTGTCACAGGCTATTGCAGAGTCACCGTTTAGGCTTTATAACAGCAAAAAGAGATTTCAAACATTCAAGAAAGAATAGCAATAGCATCTTTCTCCTAAATGTGATAATCCTTTACTTTCAAGTAAATAGTCCCTTACTGGCTATTATCAGTCCTTCAGAAAACCTGCAGCAGAATCAAGGCAAAAAGTGATATAGCAAGCTGAAGAACGTTTAATTCAGCAGATAAATTGCTTTCCATCAAGCCTTCCTCATGTTTAATGCTGAACCATGGCCCACACTAGTTTGCCTCTCTAGGTTAATTTGAAAACAATAAAGCAGGAAGGCACTACTTTGGATCCCATCAATGCTATTTATTAAACCACGGCAAGTGAGCATCATGTCAGAAAACAGTAATAATGCAGCAATAAAGTAAAAATACTTCTCTATCTTCCTTCCAAGATACTGAGCAACTTCACAGGATCATTAAAAATTGGCTAGATTGGAGGGGACCTTAAAGATAGTCTAGTTCTAATTCCCTGCAGGAGGGACACCTCCCACTAGACCAGGTTGCTCGGTGTCCCATCCAGTCTGGCCTTGAACAATTCCAGGGATGGGGTAGCTAGGTTTCCTTCCATCAGATTTAGGAAGAACTTTGAAAGCTGATGGGGACAATCTGGCAGAGTGTTTGATGCTGCTGCCTGGGCCACAAACTTCCCAGAGCTCACTGGTGCTGCAGATGCTGGACAAGATATGAGGATGTCAGTGTGTTGTGAAGTCTCTGCTATGATTCAGTACCCCAATGGTAAATATTGGCTTATGCAGCTGCTAATTCCCTCAATATTTGCTTTTGAAAGACAGAATCCTATTGACTTCACACAATCAGACAGTCTATGCATGACTGTAAATATCTCAGTATGGGGTAAAAATTATTCTCAATTTACATTGCTGCAAACCAAAAGCAACTGCTGTAGATCTACTGTGCAGCCAGAACCAGGCTCTCAGTTTAAAAACTGAAGTGCCACCCTCACTGTGGATGGACAAATATGTACAGTAATTCCACAGGATTTAGTTAGCAGGTATGAGAGGGGTAGG